AGGTTAGTGAAAATAAAGATGTTAATTTTTTTCCTATCCAAGTTCACGGACCCCCTGAAATCTATCCACAGACCCCTTGGGGGTCCGTGGACCCCAGGTTAAGAACCCCTGCTCTAAGGCCTTAGTTTAACTTGGTCTCTGGTCATCACTGGGTTCTCTGCAGCCCTGTCTCTCCCTTGGTGCCCCCTGGCACTGAGGTCTGCTCACCCCTCTTTGTCACTGCACCCCTGGCACTGGGGTCCACTCACCCTTCTTTGTCACTGTGCCCACACTGGTGCTGGAGTCCCCACACTGCAGTGGGCCCCCAGTGAGGCCTCCTCCTTCCCCAATAGCCTCAGCCCGATCCACCAGTTTACAAACAGAAATCAAAATATGAGCCCCTGGGCTCTAACATAATGCAAGCAGCTCAGGGTGTGCTCTGTCCCTTTCAGAGAGTCACCCTTCTCCCCAGCACTATGTGCCTTGTAGGCCAGGGTATCTGTTGAGCTCCTGCAGTCCCTTAATCTTACCAGAAGCCAAATGGGCAGTCAAGCCTCTTCACTTATCTTCCTCTAGGAGAGCTCCTTCCCCCTTGGCCGCTGGCTGAGAACTGACCCTCTGGTCCAGCCCTGGGGTTTATATATGCCCCAGGCCCTGTCTCTTCCGGTCAGCTGACTACCTGCAGGTGTGGGCTAATTCCTTCATTCCTGCTGCCATGGTAACTTGCAGCTGAGGGATTCCTGCCTGACTGCTAGGGCTCCCTCCCTAGGCAGTTTCAGCCCTTAAAGGAGCAGGCACCTTAGTGTGCTGAGACAGTGAGCCATATAACTTTAAACAAACCAGTACACCTCCTCCTAAACCAACAGATCTGAGAGCTCAGATACTCCCTATAGCCAGACAACCATCCTCTGGGTAGGGACCTACCAAAACCATGTTTTTGTGGAAATTGTGAAATCTGGCATTGCCCACGAAATCAGGCAGTGCCCATAAAAATCACAAAAAGCCTTAGTGAAAATAAAGTACTGGCTCCCCAGAGGGAGGAGAGGGGGGCTGCTAGCACAAAGGGGAGCCCAAGATAGCTGCTACCTCTGCCCCTCCCCACTGACTGGCTGAGAGGGCTGCCTGTCACGCAGCCCCACCCCTCTTCACCAATCAGTGGCGAGGGGCAGGGCAACACTACAACCCTCAAACAATCAGCAGCAAGAGGTGGGGCTCTATGACGGACAGCCCTCACAACCAATTGGCAGCAGGGGGGGACCCCACCATGATCAGCCCATGGGAATGGCTGCCAGCCCCAGGCTCACCCCAGGAAATCGGTGGCCGCCTCCCCGAGTTGGGTAGACCTCATAGGCAAGCCCCTAGCCCGGAGGCCTGGGAGTTTGGTCACGCTCGATCGTAGCCAAAAGGCCAAGAAGTAATTTCTTCCAACAACACCTTACCGCGAAGGATTGCCAAGTCCTGCAGAATTTTGATTGTTGTTAATTTGTGCTTTTCTGCCTCCAAGTTCATGGTGAAAATATCTGCTTTGATCTGTGCATTGCACTGTGGAGAGAAATTGTAACAATGCAGATGTATACTTACACACAGTCTCTTCTGCCTGTTTACTAGACATTTTGGCCACCTTCAAAACCACCCTGGATATATATTCCCTGGGACAAATCATCACTCTACTGCTAAGCTCCCCCTCCACATCAGGATCCATTTCACTTTGTTGAATGCACACATTAATAGCTGCCAGAATAAATACAAGCCCCAAATCAGTGTGCCAGTCCTACGGGGCGAGCAAAGGGTCTCGCTCTTCCACTCAGGGTTGTACTAACCACCAAACCGGGATCAGGGAGGAATTTCTCCCCTCGATCAGACTGGCAAGGTCTGTGGAGGTTTTTATTCCTAAGATGGCATGATGTGCATTTACTTGAATGAGGCTGCAAGAAGATACAGCAGAGTTCAGAGACCCCTTTGGACAGTTGGCACAGAGTGCCTACTAGAGGTGTGGTGTCAGCCCTGAGTGGTTTTACCAAAGTATTGATCTAATGGCCTCAGATATTTTCTGGGTAATGAGTTCCTTTGCTCCTGGCACCTAGAAGGATGCACAGCTTAGCTCCTTGCTGGAACTGGGACTCTTGGAGGAATGAGGTCCATTGGCATCAGGGACTCGGGCATTGAGACCTACCTGCTTTCCAGGAGAATTAGGCTCTTACATGCTTGCATCACAGTTTGGAGGGTTTGGCAAGTTTTACCGTTAGCTCTTAAACAAGTCAGTGTCTATCCAGGATAGACAACACTGGTTGCTACTTCACCTAAGTGCACAGGATGGTCCCGGCAAGAGAAGGCAGGAGTGCCTACAGTCACTGAAAGGCAAGGCATGCAGCAGCAGAGCATCATCTTACTTCCTGGTAAGGCGGCACACATCTATTGGCATTTTCTTTCTCTTGAGTGCCTGGGGAGAGCAGCACCACTCTCAATTAAGTTTCTCTGAGCTAGAACAGCAGCAGGTCACGCTGTTGCTCAGAATATGCACGATGAGACTATTCCCTCTCAGTCGGGTGGCTTTGAGCTTTCTGGCAGACACTGAACCAGCCTGAACGCTGCTCCTCAGTAACGGTAAGCCATGTAAGCCGATAGGGATGACTGTCTGCCATGCCACACCTCCCTGTGCCTGGGCCTCATCGCAGCCTTTGGCCTTCCCTCAGCTAGCAGTGAAGTGGATTGGACATAGCAGAAAATGTTTCTATTCAACAAGACGAGACCCAACCTTCCACATCCCGATGTGTCTCCCATTAAAGTTAAAAGGAGTGCCACAGGTGCAACCAAAAGCAAAATTGGACTCTTGGGCCATGTCCAGATGTACAGCATGCAGTGCCATGGACCCACCTGCAGCACCACACACCACATGTGCACATGTTCCTCGTGTTGCTACTTTGCTGCAAAAAGCACATGCCACCCAAAACCAATGCCTAGCTGGCTGCCGGGCAGGCTCTCTGCTGCAGGAGCACCACAGCTGCAGCTCCCCGAGGCCCCCAGGACCCCAGGTAAGGCTGCCGGGACCAGCCTCCCCTACCCCACTCGGGGTAACCTGCTGCGAGCCAGAGCACACATGATGCAGGCGTTCCCCAGGGACAAGCAGCAATGGTACAAGATGTGCCACTGCTACTTGTCCCTGGGGAAGCACGTTCATGCTCATCTGGACCCTGCCTTGGGGCTTAATTTCCATCCTCCTCCATTTCCATTCCTTCCCATGAAGGAAAACCAGACTGAGCTCTCCACATAGACACGCCGTGTTACTCACTAATTTTAACCTGCCGTTTTCTGCATTCACAAGCTCAAGCTTTCTGTTGACCTCATAAATGTCTCTCTCTAGCAGCTTCAAAACCTCTGTGTGGTCTCTCAGCTGCTCCATAGCTGTGTCACGCTTCGTCTGCAATTCATTTTTCTGTTCTGCCTGTCCATGAAGAAACCCTTTGTTATTTAGGTTCATTGTGATTCATCTTGTATTCATATGTGAATTGTTGCTATCAAATAAATAAAGGACTGTGTAGTTCATTTAAGTGGCAACCTTCATCTAAGGATTTCAAGGTGCTTTACGAAAGGAGTATTGTCTCTACCAGGCACAACGAGAACAGCAGAGAGGAGGCGATGAATTGCCCAAGGTCCACAAGGCAATGGCAGAATTGGAAAGAGAATCTACTCCTTCTGCCTTCCAGCCCCAGACACTAACTACCGAACACTGGGTGCAAGCTAATGGACACTTCATGTTCATTAATGCATCGTAGTTACTGCACATTAAGTACAGTAGCCAAGTACTAAAATCAATGCTCAATAACTGGTGCTACTGTGCAGTAGCACTGGCACATGGGTTTTTACAGACACCAACTGCAGAGTAGCCTAATACTACTGCACGGTGGCATATTAGCATTGGTTTTGCCCGGCACACTACTGTACAGCGTTATTACACTACTGTGCAGTTAGTGTCTCGTGTAGATGCACCTCTTGTCTCATAAAAGGGTTACATCAAGGAGCCTAGTGACATGCAAGACTTTTTTATATCGATTAAGGCCTCAGGCATGCACAAAAAAAATTGAAAACTGATTCTGGTGACTCACTGCCCCTTTAAATAGGCTTAAAGAAGGGAACAGGATACCCAGAGAGGTGGTGGCAGAGTCTCCATCCTTGGAGATTTTTAAGACCCAGCTGGACAAAGCCTTGACTGGGATGATGTAGTTGGGGATGGCCCTGCTTTGATCAGGGGGTTGGACTAGATGTGACCTCCTGGGGTCCCTTCCAGCCCTCATTTTCGGATCCTAAGGGGCACCTCCCTCCCTGAACAAGGAACAGTGTCAGTGCCTGCGGGTCTGCTGCAGGCTAAGAGCTACTGAGATCTGCCCTAACAGCATCAGGCAATCTGGGAATGTATCTGGCAATTTGATTTGTGACTTATAACCAAGGACCCCTACATTTAGCATATCTAATGTCTCTCTCACAAGCTAAGCAAATCTTCCTCCTCATGCTATTTCCCAGTAGTATATTTTGCACCAAAAGATGAACCAAGCTGAAGAGACGAAGAGATTGAATCAGGGGGAGGTATTTTCCCTGCAAATGTAAGTTGCTGAAGCTGTGAAAGGACCTTGCCCCAGCAGTGGTAAGCTTCTGTAGAGTTATAGGGTTCACACAGGACCAGGCATTGCAGCCCCTTGCTCACATAAGTCATTTCTCTCATTGCATTAGTACCACTCATGTGGTAAACTCCAGCTCAGAGTTTTACATGAGGTACGTGAGGATGTCTCTGTGGTGCCTGAGTCAGGCTGGGCAAGCATCTTCCAACCAGAAAACCCCTGCTTGCATCATGGTCGACAGCTCTAGGAAGAGGGTTCTGGAAGGGTAGGAGACTATAACAACACAGAAGACCAGTGAGGGAGAAGCTTAGCCTTGTCCTTGAAAATAGCCAAGGCTGGCAACATCCCTTGCAGTCTACACGGGTGCATGTTTTCCATTGGAAGGCAAACAAACCAATTTTGGGGACATTAAACAACAACATCCAGCAAGATGATAACCATTACCATGGTCTTTTGGAGTCTTCTTGTAGCCCTGAGCGAGCGCTCAATGAATTTCGTCAGGTTGGCCTCTTCGTCTTTGAGATCTGTAAATGAGGGACATGGGTTCTGCAGAAAACGTATCTCTTTGTCCCCTGTGCTGAATGCGGCTCCAAGAGCACAGCATGTTACAGTGGTAAATGATCCCTTGCATAGGTTTACGATTAATGATTATTTATGTGGCAGTCATGTCCCGAGGTCATAACCCAGCTGGTGTACAAGGACCTTCCAGCTTTGCTGTGCTTTACAGTTCAGCTAAGTGAGAAGTAGGCCAAGGATTGTGAGACAGCCAGCCCTCTTCCTTGCACACTAGTAGAAAGTGTCAAGATATGCTGGAGCAACCTCCTACTCACCCGAAACTTTCTTCCTCAGTTCTTCATATTTGGCATGCTTCTCCTCCAGCTCTCTCTGTGTCTCCTCTGCGACTGGCCTTCTCAAACTCAGCTGCTGCTCTTTTTGATTCAGACTCTCCATTACAGTTTCAATTTCATCCTTTAATGAAAACAAAGTTTAATTAATGATCTGTCTACACATCACGGGTTATGTAATAACTCAGCATAGTAGAGAAAGACAAAACACCAGGAACTTATGCTATCAGCTTGATCACACCAATACATTTCTGACAGTCTATGCAGTTAGGAGTAATATCTTATGGACCCGGACTTGGAAGGACTGTATTCCTTTTACCTTCGCCACAGACCCCCTGTGTGATCCTGAGCAAGTCATTTAAATTCAGACTTTAAACCGACAGCTCAGTTTCAAAATGGTCTCCAAAGGAGACTTCACTGTACAAGTCACTTAAGTGGTAAAATACTGAGCAGGACACTAAACTATCTTTATACCCTGACCCTTAACTTCTGTCTCAGTCGGTGCGTCTACAGAAGATGCTTAAAGAGCCATAGTCTAGTTCTACTGCGCACATCACAGCAAAAACTGTGCTCCTGTGCAGTAAAATTAGTCTACTGCACATTAAGCTTCATGAAAAGAAAAGACCGTGCACAATTGCTACGGTGCATTAGCACCAGCTACTGAGCATTTATGTAGTACCTCATATTAGAGGTACTAAACTTAATGCATAGCAGCAATAGTGCATTAATGCACTTATAGACATTTCCAGTTTCTCCACCAGCAAAAAAGAGTTAATCTTTTCTTTCTTCTGCACTTAGTCTATTTAAACTAACATTTTCAAATGGGATTGGGACACACGTCCCTTTGGG